CCCCAAAACCCCAAAACCCCAAAACCCCAAAACCCCAATTTGTCAACCAAAATTTGAAAAATTATTCTCCGTTTCGCAACTGAGCTACTATCTTCCTCAATTCCTCGTTTTGTCTCAAAAGTTCTTCCTTTTGCTTCATTGCAAGATCTTTGTCATTAACTGCGGTTTGTTTTTCTTGTAGGTTTCTGGTATTCTCCTCGTTGAGCTGCTTGCATTTTAGGAATAATTTCTTACAGATATGTTCGAGTGTTACAGATCTCTTCTTGTCTTCATCAAGGTATTTCTCAAGGATCTCTTCAATACTGAGCCTCTTCTTTGGGTCAGAACTAAGCATTGTAGTTACCATTTCTTTTATTTCAGAGCTGTAGTTGTCTTCCTTTGAGAAATGAATGTTATCCTCACGCAAGTTTTGCCATTCAGTGCCATTTTTCTGACATCGCACACCTTGCATTAGTTCGTAGGATAAGATACCTAGGGCAAAGACATCTCACTTCTTGAGATCAGGAAGTGGGGCATTTGGATCATTGTTCAATAACTCATGTGCGAGGTATCTAGAATCTCCTTCCGGAACATCAGCTTTTATTTTATCAATAACTCGAGACATTCCCAAGTCTCCTAATTTGTACTTTCCGCAATTTCCTAGTAATATATTCTCCAATTTGACATCTAGGTGAACGATTCCTTTAGAATGGAGCTCTTTAAGGCCGAAGCAGATGTCCTTGAGGATTTCTTTGATTTCTTTCTCTGAGAGATTAGTCCCAACTTCTTCGAATCTGTCAAACAGTGATTTCTCACAAAGCTCCATTTGAATATAAAGCTGCTCGTTTTCATGCCATGCAGTGTTATATCTAACGATGTAAGGATTCTCTGAGCTGACGCTGAGGGCTGCCAGGGCATAAGCCTCTTGCAAAGCTTCACCTAGCCTCATCCTATTCTTAGGGTTCTGTTTCTCAGTGATTTTAATAGCATATTCAATGCCGTCACACTTGTTCCTAGCTTTGATCTACGAAAAATTATTTGAAGAAATCTTACCACCGATCCAAAATGTCCTTTACCAATGATGCTAATCTCTTCAAAATCATTATGGAAGCGGTTACCTCTATCGCTAGAGTGTTTGGCAAGCTCCATAACGTCCTCGTAGTTCTTAATGGGAGTCCCATCATCCAAAATATTAGGATACTTCCAAAGTGTCTTTGCTGGAGTTGGTGTTTCACAAATAACCTTCTTGTCCCTTGGCGGGGACGCGTACTCAAGCTGGGCATCCTTCTCCTCTGCTTGGAAAGATCACTTCCTGACCTTACGCTTCATCTGCGGTGTTATGTTAAGGAAGGGATTATCTTCCTTCTCAGCAGAACTGATACTCTGGTCGATTTCGTCAAGATCTGATCGTTTTCTCTTATTCCCTCTACTTTTTATTTTTAAAACAGGCCGCTCATATTTTGGAGTGACACCTGAAGAGTATTTTCCCTTGAAGATGATGTCTCCTTTGTTCCACTTCTGTTTGAAGTTCTGGGGCTTCTTGATGGCCGAGATAGCTAAAGATGTAATAAAATCAAAACTTACTCTTAGACTTTCGAGATAAGTCATCTAGTAGGCCATCTATAGGGGTTTTAAAGCCTTTTTCAGGAGAAGATGACATACTAATATCAAAATTAGGATCCTTGTTCTCGTCCTCTTCCTCATCACCGAACAAATTCTTCTTACAGTTGACTCCTTGATGGAAGATGTTCTTTACAGAGGGAGCAGAATATCCTATTTCAGAGTCTTGCTGACAGAAAGAATAGCCTCTATTAAGTTGTGGAGGCAAGATCTTTTCAGAGGCCCTCTTTTCAACGGTATTTAAAATACTCTCTGCAAGAGGATCGCTGATCGGCTTTTTAATATTCTTCATAGAGCTGAATCCTCTTTCATCATCCATTGCTTGATCTTTAGACTCTTCAGGATCACTGTCACTGGAATTTGGATCCAAAAATTGATCCATTAAGCTTCTTTTCGTAGTATTCATGCTTTGAAAATTTCCGGTATTTGATTAAAATTTGTAAATAATTTAATTAAATAGCTCTTTAGAGGGGTTTTGGGGTTTTGGGGTTTTGGGGTTTTGGGG